TATAGCACGAGGAAGAGATACAGGGACAAGGAGCTGGGATATGGGGACAAGGAGCTGGGATATGGGGACAAGGAGCTGGGATATGGGGACAAGAAGCTGGAATACAGGGACAAGGAGCTGGGACATGGGGACAAGAAAGCTGGGATATTGGGACAAGGAAGCTGGGATATTGATACAAGAAACACGGAGGGCAGAGAGAGGTACCCAACCTCTTGAACCGCCAGGGATCGAACGCTGACCTGCATAAAAGCTAGGCCGTTTAAAGAATAATTTTTTAGTGTGGTCTAAAGAAGCGTGTTTTTTTTTTTAGGATCTAAATAAATTTAGGGGTCTTATGAATGGTGATTTGTTTGAAATTTTATCGGACAGGTCTTTTGGGGCTTTAAAAAATGGGGGTCTTTATGGTGTTTAAAGAAAGGAGAGGATTTATGGGGGTTTAAAGAATGGGAGGTTTTAGGTGTATAAAAATTTGAGTTTTTTGGTGTCTAAAAATGGTGGCTTTTGGTGTTTAAATAATTTGTTGGGGCTTTTTTGTTGTCGAAAGAATAGGGGAAGGGGGCGTTTTGGTGTCGAAAGAATAGGGAAGGGGGGCGTTTTGGTGTCGAAAGAATAGGGGAAGGGGGGCGTTTTGGTGTCGAAAGAATAGCGGAAGGTAGTGTTTTGGTGTCGAAAAAAAAGGAGAAAGGGGGCGTTTTGCTGTCAAAAGAATAGGGGGCGGGGGGCGTTTTGGTGTCTCTTTCTCCTCCTCTTCTCTACCGTCTACTCCTTTTTGCTATCTGCCTCCTCTCTTAGTTCCCCCAGCTCTCTTCCTTTCTTCCTCCCCCTCCTCTCTATCTATCTTCTTTCTGTTATCTCTCTTCCCCTTCCTATCTTCATTCTCTTCCTCTCTTTCTCCCCTCTTACCCCCCCCCCCCCCGACCACCAGCCCCTTCCTCTACCTCGTATGCTCAAATGGGGATAATTTTGTCTCGGAAGATGAAAGGGGAATATTAGTGATTCTTGAATTATTTCAGTAAACAGTTACTTGTCCTACAATATGCTTGGAACTAAAAAGGTTACGGTAGGTGGTGTCGACTGTCGGCTGTCAGTTGTCGGCTGTCGGCTGACAGCTGACTCTTTCCTCGACTGGATATTCTGGAACATTGATAAATTTCAATAGACACCTTTTAGTGAAAAAAATATGTAAATATATGAAAGTATTTAATTATAAATATATGTAAATATAAATATATGTAAATATAATTATATGTAAATATGTAAATATATATTTAAGGTAAATACTTGTAACTATCTGATTATAAACACATGTAAATATCAGCAATTGAGAAAATATATTCCTGATAACTTATGTATTCTTGATTAGTTTTATTTTTAGTATTCAAAGATGTTTGCATCATACAATAGGTGTAATCGATATCAACTGTATTGATACATGTAAAAAGATACGAGCTGTGACACGGATATGTATACATGAATGCTCCTGTGAAGATTTACTATCGAGGATACCCGGCTGTGCCCTCTCCCCCTCCTCCTCCTCCTTCTTCTCCAAACTCCTCCTCGCTCATTTTCCAATCTTTCCAGTCTCTCCCATCTCTCATTGGGGAATAAGTTGGGGGAAAAAAGCTGAGAAAATGAGGCAGTTTTTTTTTTTTAGTTTTTATTTATTGTATAATTATTTTCTACCACAGACGTGACAGTACATTAACAGTGCTAACTAGCATGTATGTATAAAATTCTCTCTTCCATGTACAGGGTTAGTGATCTGTCAGACATCAAATAGTTTATGCTTTACGCTCGTTTGGTCGGTGGTTCGAGTCTACAAGTGCCCAGGTGAATGAAATATATATACAAACTTACACACACACACACACACACACACACACACACACACACACACACACACACACACATATATATATATATTTTTATATATTGTTTATATATATATATATATATATATATATATATATATATATATAAACACATATATATATATATATATATATATATATATATATATATATATATATATATATATATATATATATATATATATATATATATATATATATATATATATATATATATATATATATATAAGTAAGATAGGTGCTCTAGAAACTAGTGTTATTAAGCACTTAACCACGCAAAGTAGTTGAGGTGCTTTTGCAAGATCAATTTATAATTACATCACACATATATTATGTAACTGATGCATCACATAGACAATCTTTGGTACAAGTCCAGTATATCGTCAAGTGGTCTAGTGTTTAGATATTATTTACACAGTTCATCATATCTCGACCCATGGGGGAGGGGAGGGTGAAAGACAGTCAATATGGGACATTCTACAGTATAATGTTCAAAGGAATACATGTTGTCTCTTTCAGAAAGTTGACACATGGTGTATTCGACACTTTTACAAAGTTGACACATGGTGTATTCGACACTTTTACAAAGTTGACACATGGTGTATTCGACACTTTTACAAAGTTGACACATGGTGTATTCGACACTTTTACAAAGTTGACACATGGTGTATTCGACACTTTTACAAAGTTGAAACATGGTGTATTCGACACTTTTACAAAGTTGACACATGGTGTATTCGACACTTTTACAAAGTTGACACATGGTGTATTCGACACCTTTACAAAGTTGACACATGGCGTATTCGACACTTTTACAAATATGACACATGGTGTATTCGACACTTTTACAAAGTTGACACATGGTGTATTCGACACTTTTACAAAGTTGACACATGGTGTATTCGACACTTTAACAAAGTTGACACATGGTGTATTCGACACTTTTACAAAGTTGACACATGGTGTATTCGACACTTTTACATAGTTGACACATGGTGTATTCGACACTTACAAAGTTGACACATGGTGTATTCGACACTTTTACAAAGTTGACACATGGTGTATTCGACACTTTTACAAAGTTGACACATGGTGTATTCGACACTTTTACAAAGTTGACACATGGTGTATTCGACACCTTTACAAAGTTGACACATGGCGTATTCGACACTTTTACAAATATGACACATGGTGTATTCGACACTTTTACAAAGTTGACACATGGTGTATTCGACACTTTTACAAAGTTGACACATGGTGTATTCGACACTTTTACAAAGTTGACACATGGTGTATTCGACACCTTTACAAAGTTGACACATGGCGTATTCGACACTTTTACAAATATGACACATGGTGTATTCGACACTTTTACAAAGTTGACACATGGTGTATTCGACACTTTTACAAAGTTGACACATGGTGTATTCGACACTTTTACAAAGTTGACACATGGTGTATTCGACACTTTTACAAAGTTGACACATGGTGTATTCGACACTTTTACAAAGTTGACACATGGTGTATTCGACACTTTTACAAAGTTGACACATGGTGTATTCGACAATATCACAAAGTTGCCACTTGGTGTATTCGACACTTAAGCTTTGAGAGGGTTGGCAGGTACATCTAGACCCCCAGGCGTATTCTGGGAAAGGTAAGGAGGAGAGGGAGAGAGAAGGAGAAAAAGGAAAAGGAAAAAAATGAATATCGGAGAAAAGAGAGAAGGGAAGAAAGGCATAATATAGGAACATGGAATAGGTGAAGAAATAATGATAAGGAGATAAAGGGAGGGAATAGGGACGAAGGTGAGGTAGTATTCCCTACCAATAGGGACACGTGTTTCATGTGACAGAGATGAAAGGGTTAATTAACTAATTATTTACTTAAATGATCAAAGGTCTTTATTGAAAACTGCAGTGAGGCAAGATAGTGAGGTAAGTGAGGCAAGATAGTGAGATAAGTGAGGCAAGATAGTGAGATAAGTGAGGCAAGATAGTGAGATAAGTGAGGCAAGATAGTGAGATAAGTGAGGCAAGATAGTGAGATAAGTGAAGCAAGATAGTGAGGTAAGTGAGGCAAGATAGTGAGGTAAGTGAGGCAAGATAGTGAGGTAAGTGAGGCAAGATAGTGAGGTAAGGCGTTGTGTACGCTCGAGGGAACGGGATAGATAGTGGCTTTGTTATTGAAGGTGATAAAAGCTCTTGGGTTATAATATATAATATAATAATTAGTATAATTTATATCATGATAAAATGATCAATATAATTACACAATAACATACAAACAAAGCAAAGGAGTAAACTCGTGACCGTGAATAATAATTATAATAATAACGTGAAGAACCTGAACATGAAGAACACATAGAACAAAAGGCAGAACACAATATAATTATCAAAGACAGTAATCAACGCAACTGCTGCAGAATTTCCGTTACCAGAGTCGTTCGCAGAAGCAAATAAACAGTTATGAATTAGTTAAATCAGTCTGTGTAATTAGATTATGTAAATGAGGCATAGATCCCGCACATTGCTGAGCGGGAAACAGCAGGCAAATGTTGTTCCAAATCATTCCAAATTTGAATATTTATGAAGTACAGTGAACAAAGGGGTGTACACTGCACATGTGAATGATGGCGCAGCTGTTCCCGTTGGCGTCCACACCTGCAGACACTGTTGTGTTCAACGCCTCGTTACAAGGAATTTGTTATTTAAATGAGGAGGGAAAAATAACAGTTAATAATAACAAGAGGACAATAATTAGTTATTTTGATCAGTTCCTATGATAGAAAATAACAAATCTTGCAATGCTGAATGTGAAATTTTCAAACCTGACTTTTTTTTAATTCACGATAACTGAACAAGACTCTTAAAATTTTCAAGGGCACGATATCAGTTTGTTGTTAAGCGAGAGATTTGTATTAATATATCTGGCATGTTAGACTGTATATATCTGCTTTCATTGGGAGCACTGAAGAAAATATTTCTGAATTTAGTCATTTTAAAATGTATAAGTTAAAAGTCAAAACGTCATTCGTGCAAACTCAAAAGGAATAACATGCAGTGTTGTCAGGTGGAATTTACCTCGACGAATTTTTATTGCAATTTTTTCTTCCTCAAATTCTCGCAGCACACCTGTGTACCTTGGTACATCTGTGTACCGTGGTCCACCTGTGTCCCGTGGTCCACCTGTGTACCGTGGTCCACCTGTGTACCGTGGTCCAGCTGTGTACCGTGGTCCACCTGTGTACCGTGGTCCACCTGTGTCCCGTGGTCCACCTGTGTACCGTGGTCCACCTGTGTACCGTGGTCCAGCTGTGTACCGTGGTCCACCTGTGTGCCGTGGTCCACCTGTGTGCCGTGGTCCACCTATGTACCGTGGTCCACCTGTGTACCGTGGTCCACTTGTATACCGTGGTCCACCTGTGTACCGTGGTCCACCTGTGTACCTTGGTACACCTGTGTACCTTGGTAAACCTGTGTACCGTGGTCCACCTGTGTGCCGTGGTCCACCTGTGTGCCGTGGTCCACCTGTGTGCCGTGGTCCACCTATGTACCGTGGTCCACCTGTGTACCGTGGTCCACCTGTGTACCGTGGTCCACCTGTATACCGTGGTCCACCTGTGTACCGTGGTCCACCTGTGTACCTTGGTCCACCTGTGTACCGTGGTCCACCTGTGTACCTTGGTCCACCTGTGTACCTTGGTCCACCTGTATACCGTGGTCCACCTGTGTACCGTGGTCCACCAGTGGACCACGGTACACTACAGGACACAACAGTGTACCAGGAGACACCTGGAGACCCTCAACAACACAACAGTGTACCAGGACACACCTGGAGACCCTCCGCAACACAACAGTGTACCAGGACACACCTGGAGACCCTCAACAACACAACAGTGTACCAGGACACACCTGGAGACCCTCAGCAGCACAACAGTGTACCAGGACACACCTGGAGACCCTCAGCAACACAACAGTGTACCAGGACACACCTGGAGACCCTCAGCAACACAACAGTGTACAGGACACACCTGGAGACCCTCAGCAACACAACAGTGTACCAGGACACACCTGGAGACCCTCAGCAACACAACAGTGTACCAGGACACACCTGGAGACCCTCAGCAACACAACAGTGTACCAGGACACACCTGGAGACCCTCAGCAACACAACAGTGTACCAGGACACACCTGGAGACCCTCAGCAACACAACAGTGTACCAGGACACACCTGGAGACCCTCAGCAACACAACAGTGTACCAGGACACACCTGGAGACCCTCAGCAACACAACAGTGTACCAGGACACACCTGGAGACCCTCAGCAACACAACAGTGTACCAGGACACACCTGGAGACCCTCAGCAACACAACAGTGTACCAGGACACACCTGGAGACCCTCAGCAACACAACAGTGTACCAGGACACACCTGGAGACCCTCAGCAACACAACAGTGTACCAGGACACACCTGGAGACCCTCAGCAACACAACAGGTCCTTCGGCACAACGGATGATAAACGCCGGACTAAATGATTGAAAACTCTGTTGTCGCCAAATTAATGTTACTTCCCAATATATTCCAAAATATAATTTGTATACTATCTTCCCTATATTAATAGTGTGGTTAATTTGCATAGCGGGTGAATATCCATTCACCACTTTCACTCGGTTCAAACCAAAAATAAATAATAATAGATGATAATAGATGGAAATTCATCAGAAATTATTTTTTAATTTATACACACATGATTTGGTATTGGGCTTAAGGGCTATCAGCCTCCGGAGGATTATTAAGGCCACCACAATTGTATAATAACCCACCAGCAAGTTTACTTTTGCTGGTAGCTGTAAACCCTCTCCTTCACCCCCTCCATCCCGATCCTTGTTTACTCTCCTCTGTCTAAAGAGACGCCAGAAATCCCAAGAAATCCGGATAAGTTATTTATAAACAAAAGCAGTTGTTATCAAACAACCAGGATTCTCAATATCCAACATCTCAGTTTCCAGGATTCTTACGTTATTGGTAAGTAAATAACAGGTTTAAATTTCATGTTTTGTTTATCAGGTGTTAAACAATTAGCCTCGTAGCCAGGGCGAGTATTGCTGGGGAACTTGTGTTGCCAGTTTCATCGTAAAACACTCTTAAAGTTTATTATGACGTTTCGTGCAAACGTCTTATTTTTTTTTGGTGTTCTGTCAAGATACTTTTGTAAGATCAAGCCCAGAAAACGCGTACATGACGCAGCGTTAGTAACGCTGATGCAATGTTGCGTTGGTTTTATGTAATTATATTTTCGCTGTGTGTTTGCTGGCGTGGAAATTTATTATAGCGATATCCAGGAATATAGAGTCGAGATAGATCGAAGCTACGCTCACACTTGAGCGAGGGGACACAGGTCGAGGCTACAGTCACACATGAGGGGACACAGGTCGAGGCTACAGTCACACTTGAGCGAGGGGACACAGGTCGAGGCTACAGTCACACTTGAGCGAGGGGACACAGGTCGAGGCTACAGTCACACTTGAGCGAGGGGACACAGGTCGAGGCTACAGTCACACTTGAGCGAGGGGACACAGGTCGAGGCTACAGTCACACTTGAGTGAGGGGACACAGGTGGAGGCTACACTCACACTTGAGTGAGGGGACACAGGTCGAGGCTACACTCACACATGAGTGAGGGGACACAGGTCGAGGCTACACTCACACTTGAGCGAGGGGACACAGGTCGAAGCTACAGTCACACTTGAGTGAGGGGACACAGGTCGAGGCTACAGTCACACTTGAGTGAGGGGACACAGGTCGAGGCTACACTCACACTTGAGTGAGGGGACACAGGTCGAGGCTACACTCACACTTGAGTGAGGGGACACAGGTCGAGGCTACAGTCACACTTGAGTGAGGGGGACACAGGTCGAAGCTACAGTCACACTTGAGTGAGGGGACACAGGTCGAGGCTACACTCACACTTGAGTGAGGGGACACAGGTCGAAGCTACACTCACACTTGAGTGAGGGGACACAGGTCGAGGCTACACTCACACTTGAGTGAGGGGACACAGGTCGAGGCTACAGTCACACATGAGTGAGGGGACACAAGTCGAGGCTACACTCACACATGAGTGAGGGGACACAGGTCGAGGCTACACTCACACTTGAGCGAGGGGACATAGGTCGAAGCTACAGTCACACTTGAGTGAGGGGACACAGGTCGAGGCTACAGTCACACTTGAGTGAGGGGACACAGGTCGAGGCTACACTCACACTTGAGTGAGGGGACACAGGTCGAGGCTACACTCACACTTGAGTGAGGGGACACAGGTCGAGGCTACACTCACACTTGAGTGAGGGGACACAGGTCGAGGCTACACTCACACTTGAGTGAGGGGACACAGGTCGAGGCTACACTCACACTTGACTGAGGGGACACAGGTCGAGGCTACACTCACACTTGAGTGAGGGGACACAGGTCGAGGCTACACTCACACTTGAGTGAGGGGACACAGGTCGAGGCTACACTCACACTTGAGTGAGGGGACACAGGTCGAAGCTACAGTCACACTTGAGTGAGGGGACACAGGTCGAGGCTACAGTCACACTTGAGTGAGGGGACACAGGACGAAGCTACAGTCACACACAAATAAACATGTCAGATATACAAGTATAAGAGAAGGATAATTTAAGCTGCCTCGTTGCAAGGCTTTAAAAAGCATTTATGGTTTGTATAGCTATAAATTGTTCTTCAACTTTTAACTTGAAGAACATGCATTCAGTGAGAGACATCTGGAAACACAGGTGGAAACTGAGTGCCCAAATGAGCCACAGAGATATTAGAAAGAACTTTTTTAGTGTCAGAGTGGTTGACAAATGGAATGCATTAGGAAGTGATGTGATGGAGGCTGACTCCATACACAGTTTCAAGTGTAGAAATGATAGAGCCCGATAGGCTCAGGAATCTGTACACCTGTTGATTGACAGTTAAGAGGCGGGACCAAAGAGCCAGAGCTCAACCCCCGCAAACACAACTAGGTGAGTACAACTAGGTGAGTACACACACACACACACACACACACACACACACACACACACACACACACACACACACACACACACACACACACTGCTAATACCAAGAGTTTCCTTTCCCCTTGTCTATGAATATTAATACAGATGAATATTTAATTAAGAGGGGGCCTCCCTACACCCTCCCTTAACACCTTGTTCGTCCAACCCGCTTAATCGTGGCGTTCAGTTTTACTGTGGTCACACAGTATACAGCAGAATGTTGATAGTTTTTAGGAACGGGCGTTGATCGTGGGAGATAGAGCGTGTGCGTATGTGTGTGTGTGTGTGTGTGTGTGTGTGTGTGTGTGTGTGTGTGTGTGTGTGTGTGTGTGTGTGTGTGTGTGTGTGTGTGTGTGTGTGTGTATTCACCTAGTTGTGCTTGCGGGGGTTGAGCTCTGCTCTTTCGGCCAGCCTCTCTACTGTCAATCAACTGTTTCTACTACTACATCAATTTTTTTCACATCACACACACACACACACACACACACACACACACACACACACACACACACACACACACACACACACACACACACACGCACACACCAGAAAGCAGCCCGTGACAGCTGAATAACTCCCAGGTACCAATTTACTGCTAGGTAACAGGGGCATAGGGTGAAAGAAAATCTGCCTATTGTTTCTCCCCGGCGCCCGGGATCGAGCCCGGGACCACAGGATCATATGACGAGCGTGCTGTCCGCTCGGCCGGCCGGCCGAGCGGACAGCACGTGTGTGTGGAAGCACTAAAGCGAGAGAGAACAGAACACACTATATATATATATATATATATATATATATATATATATATATATATATATATATATATATATATATATATATATATATATATATATATATACACACTGGAGAAAAGGTTCAGCAGAAAACGTGTTGATCGACGACTATATCATCCGTATAGCAGTGATTCACTGCCTTTTTTATCTCATTCGCTCTTTTACCAACCACTCTTTTTCCTCCTGTGGAAACCTTCATGAAACAAATAGATTTAACTAGCAAAATTGTCAGCAGCCATTGCCGTGTCAAAGCCATTCATTAATACAGTCAAATATCATTCACACTGATATTCTCAGCATTAATGTACATATGTATTTGATATCAGATTGCAATTCTCCAGATAACAGTTCAATTAAAAGATAAAAAAAATGGAATTCGAGTGAACACGTTGTGGACCACTTCGTCCTTGGACGGGCGCCACTGTTGAAGGGAAGGTGAGAGGTCACTTTTCAACTCTCATTTGCATAGGGATCAGGATAGCCAACGTCAATTCATTCGTCCTTCGCTTCACCTCTACCATTCAATATTGACTGGAAAATTAAGTGGAAGCTGCATTGTGGCGTTCTGACGCGATACCTTGAGATTTGGACAGGAAAGGAAATGGAGGGAGACTGTTTTTGTGAAGTTATTCATTCCACAAATACATTTCTTGCTGCTACAACGAGAATGTATAATAATGCAACCTCTACCATTGCTATCAATTCGAGTTTTGAAAAGAGTAATTTTCATGTTCTTCAACTCTGTAGAACAGAAGAGAAATCATGCATATTTCTCCTCTTTCTCCTATATCTTCCTATTATATATCGTTTTGTAATCATTGCCTTATTCTTGTTTTGTCCAACTACCTGGACTAGTTTGTACAGCGATGGCCTCGCTTCATGCAGGTCGGCGTTCGA